TCTCTTTCATCTTCTCATATCCTTTCACAGATGAGAGCTGCAGTAAGAGACATTGATTTTTATTTAAATTAAACACAGGAAATAAATATTTAAAGGCTGAAGAATCACTATGTAGAGAGAGATCTTCTAGCACCTTTGAGACTAATGGAAAGAAAGAAGTTGGCAGCATGAGCTTTCGTAGACTTCAGTCTAGTTCCTCAGATGCTTTTGGTGGAGTGGAAGCCAAGGACAGACATATATATGCCCTTGGTATGTGAGAATGTCAATTCAAATTCAAAATATTTTGTGTATGCAAATAAGTATGTACATGGAATTGTAGGATAAACAAACATTTAATTTGATACAAATTTATTATTTGGAAAAAGAAAAACTGAGAATACTGAAGAACAGGAAGCGAGTGAATGTGCACGTAAAATGTAAGAGATAAATAATTTTTTTTAGAGACAAAAAGAATTATTCAAAGAGTGGATAGGAATGCAAATTGAGACAATGTATGTGTATGTCCTTAATTATATGTATGTCTTAATGGTTGAATATTTTATTGTGTATTGTATGTTTATTTGTAATACACATATTTAAAAAAAAATTCACAGATGAAAACCAGGACACATGTCTCCAAGCCACACCAGAGTGTGGTCAAGATGGGAAAAGTTATTAATGACAAAAAACATACAAGATAGGAGAGGCTGCAGCAGTTTGCTTTTGCCTGAGTCCACAGGCGTGGGCAAGATTCTGGCCTCTCCTCTGCTGAGTTAACTGAGTGTAGCTACTTTTGCACTTTGAACAAGTTGAGGAAGCAAGCTGAGAACAAAGGGGGAAAGTGAGAGCAGAAGAGAGAGAAACTGGGACATTTCAGAAGCAACAAAAAAAGGGGGGGGACTACAGATGGTTAACTGGGATTGTCCCTGCCAAATCAGAACAGCTAGAGTATATGCAACCTGGTGCCCTCCAGATGTGGACTACAATTCCCATAAGCTCATGCAAGCATACCCACATGCAGATGGGAGCTGTTGCCCAAAATAAGAAGGGCAACAATTTGGTGAAGGCTAGTCTACAGTGTGGTTTCCTGCCTCTGAAACTCAGCGGAGGAGAACCTGGCGCAGGGCAGGCATCTCTGCTACTCCAAGCACTGACCTTTTTTGTAGCACCATTAAGGTATATGGAGCTCTAAGCTGTCATTGAAACCAATTGAATTATCTTCTGGAAAAGTTTCTTTTTGGATTGTAATTCCCAGAACTCCCCCTCCCACCACCACCAGAAAGAAAAGAGAGGGAGATAGAGATGGAGAATGAAGCAAATATGAATGAATACAATTAGTTACTAAGGCTTCTGGCTTAAAGTTATGAATGTAATGCAACTGAAAAATTGAAATACTTGCCATAACTGTAATAGTGTAATACTGAAACAAAGTGATTTATTCCTACAAGGGCCCAGTCCCACAGGAAGGTATGTTGCTTTTAGGCACTGATGGTGTCCTGTTTCACATTACACAATTAAAACACTTTTATACTACTTTAATGTCCATGGCTGCATCCTCTGGAATCCTGGGACTTGTAGTTTGATGAGGCACTAGGTCTCTGTTGTTGCGAATTCTAAATGCCCCTCACTAAACTGCAAATGAGGGCCAGAGCAGTGTTGTGGTTTGAGGATTGCACTAGGATTCTGGAGACCAGGGTTCGAATCCCAGGTCTGCCATGTAAACCCACTGGGTGACCTTGGACAAGTCACACTCTCAGCCACAGAGGATGGCAATGACAAACTCCCTCTGAAGAAACTTGCCAAGAAAACTCTATGATAGGTTTGCCTTAGGATCGCCATAAGTCAAAAATGACTTGGAGGCACACAACACACACACACACACAAACTGCAAATCCCAGGGATTCATAGGATGTTCTCATGACAGTTAAAGTAGAATCATAGTGCTATAACTTTGTAGAGTGAAAGGGCATTGGACTAGGACTCTGGAGACCAGGGTTTGAATCCCAGCTCAGCCATGGAAACCCACTAGGTGACCTTGGGCAAGTCACACTCTCTCAGCCTTAGGGGAAGGCAATGGCACAAACCATCTGAAGATACTTGCCAAGAAAACCTTATGATAGGGTCACCTTAAGGTTGCCACAAGTCTAAAATGACTCGGAGGCACACGACTCACACACAGACTGCAAATTCCAAAGGATGTTCCCATGACAGTTAAAATGGAGTCATTGTGCTATAATTGTGTAGTGTGAATGGGCTCTTAGAGTGAGAGAACAATCCCTCCCCACAGGGCCAACAAAGCTGCCCATGTGTAAGAGTGTGAAATCATCATGCTATAATTGTGGAGTGTGAAAGGGCCGTGGACTAGGACTCTGGAGAGCAGGGTGTGAATCCCAGCTGGGCCATAGAAACCCAGTGGGTGACCTTGGGCAAGCCACACTCTCTCAGCCTCAGGGGAAGGCCATGACACAAACCTCCTCTTAACCAACCTTGAAAAGAAAACCCCAAGATAGGGTCACCTTACTTTTCAAACCACTTGCTACTCAATGTTCTTGCCTTTCAATGGGTCACCATAATTTGGTATTTACTGTCCTTGCCTTTCAAGTGGGTCACCATAACTTTCTACTCACTGTCCTTGCCTTTCAATGGGTCACCATAACTTGGTGCATACTGTCCTTGCTACTTACTGTCCTTGCCTTTCAATGGATCACCATAACTTGGTACTTACTGTCCTTATCTTTCAATGGGTCACCATAAATTGGTACTTGGTACTTACTGTCCTTGCTACTCACTGTCCTTATATTTCAGTGGGTCACCATAACTTGGTACTGTCCTTGCCTTTCAAGTGGGTCACCATAACTTGGTACTCACTGTCCTTGCTACTTACTGTCCTTATCTTTCAATGGGTCACCATAACTTGGTACTCACTGTCCTTGCCTTTCAAGTGGGTCACCATAACTTGGCACTTACTGTCCTTACCTTTCAATGGGTCACCATAACTTGGTACTTACTATCCTTGCCTTTCAAGTGGCTCACCATAACTTGCTACTCACTGTCCTCGCCTTTCAAGTGGGCCACCGTAACTGAAAAAGACCCCACAACCCACAAACAATTTCAAAGTGGCTGGAAAGGCCAGGCTTCCTAAGTGCAGAGGGCCTTTTGCCCTTGGATCCAAGGGGGCTGGCTGCTTGGTGAGAAGAAGAGGGCTTTCTTTCGTTGGGACCCAGGTGCCCCCTCCTTCTCCCCTCTTTGCGAAGGGGGCGAGCCAGACCAGTGGCTCCAGGCAAAAGTGTGGGGAGGGGGCGACTGACGCCTCCCTTGGTGGTTGCCATTGGCTCCTTGGGGCTGGACTGGGCTAGTAAGAAGAAGCAGCAGCAGCAGCCCCTGGGCGCCAGGGAGGTCCCAAAGTCGAGCCAGCCAGCAGGGAAGGAGAAGGAGGAGGAGAAGGAAAAGGAAAAGGAAAAGGAAAAGGAAAAGGAAAAGGAAAAGGAGAAGGAGAAGGAGAAGGAGAAGGAGAAGAAGTTGAAGGAGAAGGAGAAGGAAGAGAAGGAGAAGGAGAAGGAAGAGAAGGAGAAGGATGGCCTTCCAGTTATGGAGGGACTACTTCCAGCTGGCCAAAGTGGTGGAAGAGATGCGCTGGAAGGCCTCCTTGCCGAGGGAGATGGAGATGGAGATGGAGATGGAGATGGAGGGCTCCAGTGGCCCAAAGGCGGTGGAGGCCAGTGGCCCAGAGGAGCCTCTGCCCTCCTCCTCCTCCTCCTGCTCCTGGTGGTGCTCCTTCTGCAAGCAGAACGGGGAATCGCGACACGTGTACGCCTCGCACCGTCTGAAGGACGAGGCCGGCAGGGTCCAGTGCCCGATCCTGAGGAGCTACACGTGTCCGCAGTGCGGGGCCACCAAGGAGAGGGCCCACACTCGCCGCTTCTGCCCCCAGACCCACAAGGGCTACGTCTCCGTCTACACCGGCGCCCTCAGGAACTCCGCCGGCAAGAAGAGGAGCAGGAAGGTAAATGGAAGAAGCACACACACACACCCCACACTCCACTTTCTTTTGGAGGGAGGGGATGATGGGCCTCCCTTTCCCTAGCCCCCTGAGTAAAAACAAAAGGTCCCTTTTCTCTCTTCAAGGTTTGAAAGCAGCCGTGCCTCGCAGTGGCGCTTCTCACCTCCTTGGTAAGTTAGTCTTTGCAAAGAGTGATTGATACCTTTTCGACCCACTCGCTACTTACTTGCCTTTGCCTTTCAAGTCGTTTCCGACTCGTGGCGGGTTTCTCTGAGGCTGAGAGAGTGTGGCTCGCCCAAGGGCTGAGCTTGTGAGCCGCCTTGGGTCCCTTTTTGGGGAATAAAAGCTGCATAGAAATGGAATAAATGGAAACTCGATTAATAAGTTTCCCTGGCCGAGGTGAGACTCGAACCCTGGCCTCCAGAGTCCTAGTTTAATGCCCGGTCCACTGCTCCAGGCTGGCTCCATGCTACTTGGGTTGTGTGCCTTCAAGTGGTTTCTGACCTATGGTTTTCTGAGGCTGAGAGAGTGCGACTGGCCCAAGGTCAACCCAGGGGGTTTCCCTGGCCGAGCTGGGACTCGAACCCTGGTCTCCAGAGTCCTAGTCCAACACTCAGACCGCTACACCAAGCCAGATCTATGCAACATACGTTGTGTGCCTAGGCGACCCTATCATGGGGTTTTCTAAGCACGTTTTTTCAGAGAGGGTTTGCCATTGTCTTCCCCTGAGGCTGAGAGCATGTGACTTGCCCAAGTGGGTTTCAGTGGCTGAGTGGGGATTCGCACCCTGGTCTCCAGAGTCCTAGTCCAAGGCTCAAACCACTACGCCATGGTGCTCCTATACTTCTTGCTTGTTAGTTATCATTTCGATCCTTCTGAGGCTTAGTGGATTCCAGGATATTGGGAGGGAGGATTTCAATCCAGAAGGATCGCTGAAGGAGGGGAGTCAAAATGATCCATTGCCCCCTCAATAAGAATTCTTCTCCTTCCTTCCCCCCAGAAAAAAAATTAAAATTTCTCTCTGTCCTCAGATTGATAGCATTGAAAAGATGTTAAGCAGACATTGAAAATAATTTGCACTTAAAATATATATATATGAATTTGTGGAAATGGACAAATTGACTTGCCTAATAAGACATGGATTGACTGCCTGTTTCACTGGAGAATGGGAGCCTTTAATACCTCTGTTATGATGATTTATTATGATGATTATTATTCTCATCATTATCATATTTATTTACAATCCCAACCTTTTCTCAAAACTGGGACTCAGAGCGGTTTACAAGAGTAAAACACAGAACATTTAAAAACATAGAAAAGTGTCACATTAAAACAGAATTAAATTATTACAATATTAAAACAG